AAATTGTATAATAACTTAAGATTACGAATCTTTAGAAATGTGTTTATAGTTGGAATATTGATGGGTATGTTATATTATATTTTTCGTTGAGAGGATAAATTGTTGTTATGTTATTTAACTTACTAAATTGCACTCACTTTAATATAATATAATATTATTTTTATTATTAATTTTTAAATAATTCTTTTAACCCCCAACATTTCATATTAGCTAAAACCCACGCTTATATAAATTTAATTTGTAACAAAATCACCCCAAGCCATTGTTGGCCGCCAACCACCATCGCCGACTTGCCGCCTTTCGGCCTGAGTAGTTGGAACGTTGGGAGTTGCCGATAGGGTTGTTTTGGCCATATCGATGGCCAAAACGGTCAAATGGTCGTAGATCTGGCTGAAAATGGTCAAATCTATTCTAGCCACTTTGGTCAGATTGATGGTTCTGTCGTTAATGACCATGGATTTGGCCGTTTTCGGCCATCAATATGGCCAAAACGGTTCATATCGTTACCTCTCGAGCTCTTACGCACTTTTGACGACCTATGAAGTGGTTACATGGTTGCCAGTTGTTGACGGTGGGGGTCTACAATTGTTTTAAGGCATTATTGCTAAAAACTTAATTAAACATGGGTAAAATTGTATGGTAGATTAATGTAATTGATTTAAAACAATGGGCTTTATGGTCCAAAATTTTATTCATAAGGGTAAAATTATAACAAAAAGATTACCAGTAATCTTACAATACTAAGAATAGAGGTAATCAAATACTTCCAATATTACAATAGTAACTATTATTGATATTGAAAGATTACCAATTTTATTTACTTAACAATTAAACGTGTGAATTAAGTATATAAGATGTCATTACTTCAGTCAATTTAACATTACCTTAACCAATCACCGTTATACTATTATTTTTATATCTTCATCTTAATGATAGAGAGATTTCGGTTATTTTAAAGCTTTGAAAATTGTTTTCATTAAATCATATCGGGATTACGTTATAACTCATAAACTTATAAAAGTTGTTCTTAAACTTTTTATATTTTTTTTAGAAGCGAATTATTACCTTGACCTTGTACCTATAGATTTCTAGTTGTACCTAATCCTGTGTTATATACATGGAGAAATGCATTTATATTCACCAAAAATCAATTTTCATATATTCTGAATGAAACATTGATGATTTAAGAGATTCTATCCAAAAAAGAAAAAAAGAAAAACTGCCGAAGCTACCAATTTTTATTAATCTGGGCAACCATGTCACCTTTTTTCTCATATAATTTTGTACAAATTGTTCTAAGCGTTCCCTGTATCCTTGTTTAAAAAATAAGAAAACCGGTGACAGAAATCAAATGGATCGTGGCATTGACTCCCCTGCTTTGGATGTTCTAGCATCGGTGGCATACGACCAAATTGAGGTCCCCGGATAGGAGTCCACAAGCCTAATCCACCCCTACTTTCTTTCATACTGCTACTTTCCCCCATCAACTCGGCTGTGTTTTTTAACCCACTCGATTTAGAAAAATGCTCCTCGTAGTGCGGATTGCAATACAAAAGTTCAGGTGCAAAACCAAAACGTCAGAAAGAAGCACCCAATAGTCTCTTTCAAAGGTATATAATAATGATAAACCATTCTTATGGTTCCTATAGAATTCCAAGCCCCTTAATAAGGTTGACTTACTGTGTGATTCGTTAGTGAGGATTCTAATTTCACTAAAACCAAGGAGAAGCAATATGATTGAGCCAAGAGTGTGAGATTCTTCTTACCACCACAGTATTTTTTCTTTATACTCCATGGCTCCTCCTTCATAACGGTAATTTTCATGTGAAGATCATAAGAGGTCGTGCATATCGCTTCTACGCTTGTTTGCATCAGCCTCCTCATATATACTGCGGTGATGTTTGTGCTGTGCAATAGCAAAGTTATTCTTATTGCGCCATAAGTATCTGCAAATTAAAATCAATTGATAAGTCAAGATGCTTCTCTCACTACAATCAAAAAAACTTGAAAAATTTAGGGCAGAACAATGTTGGGCACAAAATGCTTAAACATTATCAAAAGAATCAACCTTATTCACTCTAAGCCGTGAGACATTAATAGTTTAAAAAAAAAATTGCCCGCCAATATGTCAGCAGGGGAACTTCATCTCATCAGAGCTCTAAGCCATATACCACAGCAAGGCATAATCATGTGAACTAACAAGTTAAATTTATCCAACTAAAACAATCGTTCGAATTACTATACCATCTTTAATCTTATGCTCCATTTACTTGATAAGTGATGGGGAGTAATCTTGTGTGGTTGACAAAGATCCCACTGAACGGCCTTTTAACTTATTTAACTAAACTGAGGTGAGGATTAATTTTCAGAATAGTTGAACACCAAAAAATAAATTCCAAAATGTTATATTCCATAACTTCATAAGCAAGAACATACCTTTCAAGAGAGAGCAATGGATCACAATCAGCTCCATTTAACCATCAATCCAATGCTGTACTGCGCTTGAGGAAACAGCCTATGGGAAAATCTTTGGAACCTTCCCATTCCTTCGGCTCATCATAAGGTGGATTCTCAGTAAAAGACGCCATATACCCACCCTTGCCCCCCAGCAGAATCTTCTCTAACAGTAACATTCTTCTTTATGAAATTCAGAGATTCCTCATCCCCGTAATAAGAAACAGAAGGCTCTTAGAGCGGTGACTATTGTGTAGGCTGATGAGGTATCATATCCATCAAAAATACCAGAGCCACCACAAACCTACACTTCTTACCATATTTGACATCCAAGGACATTTCAGCTCCACCATTCTCATAAATCCACAGTGCACCTGAAGTCAAACAATTGGAAACTAACTTAAAATTCAGGGGAAGGTAAACATGACGGATTTAAAGGTCCATAACTAAGTAAACGACATAACAAAATCCATACTGTAACCAACAGATGCTCAAAATGTAATTCTAGTTTGGCGGTCAACAAACATAATATGACGTACATGAAAATTCAAATTACCCATGGTGAAATTTATTGAAACTCTCTCGAGACCAGCTTTGATCCTCCAAAGGGAAGATGAGATCCATTACCAAACACCTCCCCATAATAAAGTTAGATTCTTGACGATTTCGTCGGGATTTCTTCCTTGGAAACAATTTGTAGGGTCATCAGCAACAGGAATGGACACCCTAATTTTATAACAAAATCAAATAATCATCAGAACACCATAGAGATCAATACCACAAAGAAGGAGTATGCCAGTCTACGGTGTTGCGGTTTTGGTACAAATCCCATTGGCTTAATATGATAAATACCGGCCTTGCTGTTACAATAGCTGCACATTACATAAAACATAAGGGCCCTGACCTCCTACTCTAAGAATGAAATGCAAGATACTATTCAAACTCTTGTTTCTAAGTCTCAAGTAAACTACTAATCATGGATAGTGTGAAAAACTTCAAAAAACAGAAGAAACTACTAAACACCTGAAAAGAAAGCCACCCAAGATTGGCAAGACCAAACGTGAATTAGCAACACAAAGAGGATTAGTACATCCATATGATGCCTGCTACAAGAACTAGTCGAATAAATCCTCTCTTCCAAACGATCTTCATCATAATCTTGAGAAAACCCCCACCTTCAGTATCTACATTACCGGCACACACTTACAACTTCAACTCTTATGAGCCCCAACAAAGCAATGCACACTCAAAACCGTACATGTTAAAACTTCTACTTCTACACCAATAAGATTCCCCAAAATTTAACTTTTCAATTATTGCAACACAGAAGTCCAATCTTTCTTCATCATACAACATAAACCCACATAGAAAAATTTAAGTCTGATACTACAATGGGATAACGATAACAAATTTGAGTATGAACCCACATAATATAACATGACGCATCAACACTTATATCATAAAAAAGAGAAAGATTGATTTTTTACTTACCCTTTGCACGTGGAGTTTGATTTCGACGGTTTAACCTCAAAGAAAAAGGACGTTGAATCTTGCCCTCCATGATCCCTCACTTGACAACCCTTTCAAATATTTATTCAACACTTGCTAATTTGGCACAAAATTAACACTAACCAGCATTAAATTAACACTTAACAATTTGTTGAAACAACAACAACAGCCTCAAATTTTGGCGCAATCAAAAGTTATCTTCAGTGGAGCAAGTATAAAACAAGACTTTAGCTAGAGACATAAAACCTAAGAACAAATAAGATTAGAACTTTGAGAAGCAAAGTACAGACTGAAATGTGTATAAAAACTGCCCAGATCTAGAAGCTTATTCTTATTACAAACCCAAAATTTCAAAAAATTGATCTTGAGGAAGTTTTTTAAAGAAGAATTTGTGCCAAAAGCACCAAATTACAATACGATATGACCAAAATACCCTTTTGTACGCATCTAATACCTAAGGAAGTCATGTAACGATGTGAACTTCATCACCCTCACTTGAGAGGCTCTAAAACTCACAAGTTTAAATAAAAGGAAGAATTGTTTTAGTGAGAGTACATGTGCGAATCGTGAACATTATCGTTAGCGATACTATTTAATCTCAACTAAGCATGAGCGTTTCATTATACAATCATTTTTCGTTCAATATAACTCACACTTGATCCAACTCACTCCTAATCTTCAGATACCACTTATCGGTGTGAGCAGCGCTTGCTATAATCTGGAATACTAGTTTAATACATAACCCATGATTCAATCTAATTTTATTGTAGCATCGCACAATATATATCTATTCACATATAGTTTTTTCAAAATATGTTTTTTTGTTGTTCTTTTTTTTTTCAACATAGTGCCTGCTCTGCCCTCATTCATCTTCCTTCTCCAATCCATCGTTTATACCTCAATTTGTAAAGCTCCTTCCATCTAAAGTAACGATCTTCAGGGTTTAAAATCGGGTGAACAAAGTTTAGATTTTATTTATTTGTTTATTTAAAAAGTCTTTTGGTTTGGTTGTTTTTAATAAGAAGAGAGAGTGAGAGATGGAGCAAGAGGTGAAGAACAGAGCAGTATTGCCAACTACTTGATTCAGAGAGTGCAGATGTATGAAAATACCCAAAAGCCAATCAAGAGCAGGCATTGGACATCTTAACAGATTCTTCAGCTGAAATTACCAGAATTATCCTCCGATGAACCCAACTGTAAGCAAAGAGAAAAAACCCTTTTTCTTGATTTAGTTTTTGTTTCATTTGTATGTGAATTTCTTATGCATATTGAAGAAAGAGGTTAATTTTGTGGCAACCCTTTTGTTTCGAGTAAAGTCAAGAATTTTGCTTATTATGTGAACGGTAAGCCTATTTTTCATTGGAGGAATTTGATTCATGGCCCTATTTTGCATTATATTAAGGAGCCTATTTTGGGTAGATGTGACTTGCGTGGAGAGGTGGGATTTTGCTCATCCTCTTTGCAGTGCCTTGAATGAGATGATTTTTGGATAGGGCGAAAGTGCAGCTGAATTGTAGAATTTGTTTTTTATCATCCTGTGAATCTGTGTTTGTATACAGATTGGCTTCTTTTCTCTCTCCAAATGCAGCTTTATTGATTGTACTTAAATCTGTGTTTGTAACGTCCTTAACCTTGCATATAGTGGGATTAAGTTTTGATGTAAGAGCAACATTTGACAATAATGAATCAGTGACTTTATCGTATGCTTATTATGCATTTTGAATATTAATATTGAAATTCAATAAACTTACATGTTAATAGCTAAGCATCTGAAATATTTTTGGCGAATATTATTACTGAAGTGACCTTCGGCGTCCTTGTAATTTGAAGTAGCAATGGTTTGCAACAATATATCCACACAGCAGTAACCTTGATAGATCGTTAATTTGATTTTGTGATTAATAAACGTGTTTGTTTGGCGTGTTCATAAATGTCTTAGGCTTTGCAGCAATAATAGCATTACGGTTGTAGTGAATGAAAAAAAGTATAGCACTGGTACTACTGCATTAGGTTTGTAGATTGTTCCTAAAACTTCATAGATGAATTTCATGTTGGCTCTAAGATGATAAATGCCTTTCTTTTTTTCTTCTCTTTAATTGCTTTTTGTCATAGATTAGTGTCTTGCTCTACCCGATGATTTGAACTCTTGAATTGTTTCTGCTTTTGCAGATGTTAATATTGAGTCACCACCCTCTATGCATCCTTGCAAGAGACTTTGTGATATGACAGGATACGAGGTATGGGATCTGTCTGGAAGAGTGGTCAATGGTCTTAGTCAGACATTTTTGTTTATATTGAGCATCCTTGAATGATGCGCTATGCTTCCAGAATTTGATAGGTTTTTGACTTTCTTGGAATCTGAAAGCTTTCAGAACTTATACTGCTCATTTACGATCCTGCATAGAACATCTTCAGCCCATGTTTTCAACAATAGTGCCTGCTCGCCCTCCTCACTCTTATCTATCCCCATATTTGGCTGGAAACCCTGTGTTAGATTTAGTGCATTTGTAGTTGGTTTTGGAAGATATAGAAGAATAACATGTTATATTTTTCAAATCCCAACTGAATCATTCCGCTTAAGTTTGATTAATCTAAAATTGAGTTTGAGTTACAGCTTTTTTGGTTGTGTTATTATTCAACTCAATCCAGGTGCTAATATAAACAACAAGATTCATTTCATATTTGTACATGCAGGCACCTTACTACGATCCAAGGACTAATCTCCGCTATGCTAACGCTGAGTCTTCAAGCTTGTAAGATCACTTCCTAGCGAGTATGTACAAAGATATCTAGCTCTGAGAAATGCAGCAGTTGTTCTCAAGTGACCTGGAAATTTTCAGGAACAGCGGCTGTCTATACCCCTGTTTGTTACCAATCAAACAGAATATTTGTTTTAACCATTTCTTGTTTATGTAGAATATATTAAATCAAAGAGAGAATTCTATGAAACTTGACAATAAAATTTCTAAAAGTCATTTCTCCCAATTTTTTTAAACAGAATCGAATTTTGTTATAATATATATATATATATGAAATATTTTATTATTTAAAACCCTTTCCTTTTAGAAGATTTATATATTATTACATGGGTTTTCTATTAATTTATTTATGTGACATGTCTTCCCCCTGCCACGAATCACTAAATTCGCCGGCAAGCCGCCGCTGTCAAACTAGTTTTAACTCCATCTCGGGCCTCTCGTTTAAGCATGGAGACAATTTGATTGCTTTGATGTAATTTGAGAATACTGTCCTGTAGAGCTTATAGGACGTTGAACTGAGGATGAAGTTCTATGTATTCTTTGGTTACCGGATAACCAAATCAATTAAAGAATCAATCTGAATGGGCTTCGTGGTAAATTGTGTCTTTATTTTTTCTGCATTAGGTTTAAAGAATCAAATATTTAGTTACATTTATTTAAAAATGAAATGTTTAAACGGCAGATGAATCGACATGATAACACATCTTATTTTATTTATTTTTTTTTTTTTTTGAAGGAGAAAATTTAGCTGCCTGATCATCCCAAGTTTTCGATTTAAGAAAATGGCATGGAAACGTTCATCATTTTTTTTTAATTTAGAGATATGAGTGCATAGTTAGGATTATTAACCGTCAGTGCACGATCGCTTAAGCGATTTGTGTATCGCTTAAGCGATCTTGTTCCTAAACACTTTGTCGCTTAAAGCGATCGTGGGCAATATATACTTTGCCCTTTTCTCCTGAATTTTGACAAACTAAAATTACAACACGTATAATTCCATACTTTTCCTCAATTTGACAACCTAATTCCAAACTAAAATCACCAACAAATATTTAGACATGTAATAAAATACACAATATAAAGATAATTTATTAAAGGTAACATAAAATTTAAAACTCAATAATTGAAAACAATAACTCATCAACGGTTGCCCTTCGCAACTCCCTGAACATCCTTCTTCGAATCGAACCTAATACTTCTGGCAACTGCTTCTCTTGTGACAGGTTGCTTGCAAATTGAGCACTTATTCATCTTCCGGGGAACCTCAAAGGCTGATGGATACGCTTAACCCTTTTTCCTCCCTTGTGTCTTCTTGAATGGCGTGGAGGATAATGTCAGCCACCCTGCGCACAACCCACTGCTCTTCTGGAGGCACCAGATATATCTTCTGAATATGCTGCTGTAGTGATCTGTCAATAGAAAGGGGAGCAAAGTCCATGAAATTCTTGAACCAAAATCCACTCCGTTGGTGTTCAGTGCTGCTAGTGCATGAGGACAAGGATAACGTTGAATGTCAACCACTTTAGCTGCAAGTTTTTGTAACAAGGTTAACTAGGGCACCGACCATAGCCGCAATAGTAACTCTTGAGCATTAAGAGATAGCAACAGTGCATTTGACAGTCCATATGTTCTCGCAATAATTTTCAGCTACGGAACAAGGGTTGTAGTAAATTATCTGACTCCGTACGACGCTCATGGAACCACGGACAGTGTCCTTTGGATTGCATCAAAAAGTGCAACTATTGAAACCTTTTCTTTAACAACTTCGAATTTATGGACTCAGCTATTTCGTGGCGACATCAAACCTTCTTCCAGGAAAGTAAGCTCTACTCCACTCTGAACCAACATGCTAAAGATACTTAGCAACTCTAACATCCTTGATTCGGATTTGCTGGAAGTGCTCCTCGACTCATCAACCCGATAACTGTCGGCCATGTAGTATGTCTAGGAGGCCAACACTTAAACTTTTGTTTTATTCTCACCAAGGTGCCTCATACAGAATCCGTATGTGTTACGTAATAGTGGCAATCCCCTTCTTATAGAGTTGTGCCTAGTGCATATTCACACAACTCGTCACTGTCAGGCACTATCGTACGTAACTGCTGAAAAAACCAGTCCACGACTCGCATTCTCAAGATCAACCACACACCATGCAACAGATATGTGTGATTCTCGCTGCCTGTGCAGTGGCCACCAACAATGTACCTCCATACTTTCCCGTAAAAAGCAACCATCAACAGCCAACACCTTCTCATGTTTACAAAACCCCTAAGCAAAACCATAAGCAACAAAAAAATATTTAAACACATATCCTGTCCCACTTCAAAGCGTCTGGCTACCTGGTTTGTCACTCAACATATAACGGTACGCTTCTATTACTGCTACCCGTGCCCGCGTGCCCTCACAAAATCTTGTGCAGTTGTCTCCCTTTCCAGCATTTCCAGTAACTAACAGCACATCCCAACTCTGTGCGCACAAGTCTCTGAATGTCTTAGGAGATGGACCTTTCCCGACGAACGACTTTTGACAATTGTCCAATAACATCAGCGGACGCTTGTCGATGCTCACCTGAAATATGTCCCAAACACATTGTGTGCTCACGGGTATATGTGCTAAGAATAAACTTTTCCGACTCCCGCCAACCTTCTACAAAACCCGCCACTTGCACTTTCGTCACGACATGCAACCGTCACAATGAATTGACTTTTTGGTGATGAACTCAAAATTACCTTTCACAACAACAGTTTTAGCTTCCTCACCACTTCCTCTTTGTTTCAAATAAATACCCTATGCGCACCTCCGATCCATCCGTAAACACATGAGCTGATCCCTACTACCTCCAATTGCCCCCTTTGAACCTGCATAAACGACCATATTGTTCTCTTCCTCACTCTACGCCTTCTGCATAATCTGTATTTAAAGGAATCTCTACATCTGTGGACATCTAGGGTCCTCCTCCTCAACATTTTCATTCTCCCCATCACCAACCCTTCTATAGTTCCTCCTCACCACCCAATTCACCGTCTACTCTTGTTTTTCACTAACAATCATGGCCTCGTAGTTCAAATTAAAACCAGCAAATCTCCGCCTACTCCTCGTTATCCCCTTCCTTGGAACCAACTTCCAACGGTTTTTCTACATAAGAAACCCTTAAATCGGCCTCGAACCACTATCGGCCATATCAATCTAATAACTCACACTTTCATCCGACTTTAATATAGCAGGAGTACCTATAATTTTCAGAGCTCTGCTTAAACATACTTCACAACTATATCACTACGCGGCAACTCAAATAACCTCTTTCTAATTATTTCATCAATCACTCATCAAAACTAACCTCTGTCTCACAGCAATTGGTATACTTCTGCTCTTCCCATCCACTTCCACCACTTTCTTCCTCCACCCACTCACCAAAATACTCAACACCCAAAACAATGTCCCATGTATAATAATAGCCAACTACCGTAATGCAAGAAAACAATATCTTAAATGCTGTACAAGGTTCAAATATTTTAAAAATCTGCACATTCGCATATTTGGTCTGATGTTCGCTTAAGCGATCATGGTTATTATACGGATCGCTTACGCACTTGATCGCTTAACGATCTTATCCCTTACTGATCGCTTAAGCGTATGCTCCCTACAACAGACTTTACCAGATCGCTATAGCGATCTTATGCCACATACCTGATCGCTTACGATCTATCTGCTGCATTACCAGACCTACCGTCCTTAAGCGATACACCAGATCGCTAAGCGTCCATGTACCCAGAACACATTTCAGTCATCTCCACCTACAATCGATCCATCATACCAGAATAAATACCCAGAAAATTTTCAACAAATTTCACTCCTTTCAACTTGCATTACATCAAACACAACCCAACAACCTAAACAACTAAATCAAAATCATAACCCAAACCCCATCCATTATTAAATCTTTGTAAATCTAAATATAAAATGAAAAGGAGATACACATACTTAGACAAAATGTCAGGAGGAGGAGAGAGGGGACTTTTTGCCGAGAATGTTAATGGTGGAGGAAGAAGAAAGTTAATGGCAGAGGAACAAGAAGATATAGAGGAATAGGAAAGAAGATGTACAGGAAGGAGGAAGAAGAAGAAGATCGAGGAGAAGAAATAGACGAAGCAAGAAGAAAGAAAAGATGCAAGGTGAGATCGTTATGGGGGGAAGGGAAGGTGTTTGGGTTTTTTTGCAACATTTCGTTTGTGGAAATATAGTATAATTTTGAAAGATTACATAATACTTCATTACCCTAATTAAGCACATTACCCTTAATCATATATTATTAGTTAACACTTTAAAACTTGATAGCCTTTAATTAAATGTAAACTTCAAATGTCTTTTTAATAAACTCCCCGAGTGTTTTTGGTGTCGTTTTTTCCGAAGTAAGGTCATTGCAAAAGGCAAATGCATTAAAGAGATATGTTTTGGCAATTTCACAAACCTAAGGTTTTCAAAATCCCAAACTTATGTCAGTATCAATCTTTCCTATTCAAACCACCTTTATGATTTCGAAAATTGAAGGTTAAATGTAACCCGTCAGTTGTTTTTTCGGTTTGAGGTGGTTTTCACTAAATCCAAAATTTCCGATTGATCAACACAACCAATTTATAAGTATTCAATTTTACCTTTTTTTAATAAAATTATAAGATTTAAATAAATCATGCTATTGAACTTGTATTTAATTTACAATCTATATAAATTTTTTTTTTTTTTCTGTTTGTCTTCACACTTTCAATAACCAAAATCGAATTTACTAAAGTATGAAACATTTCCACTTCTTCCGAAACACATCATCTGCAAAGTCTATCAAGAAAATGCAAGTTAACAAATTGTCTTTTTAAATTCATTCCTTTCGTTCTAAAATCTTCTCTTAATAAAGATTAGAACTCGATGACTTCTTTATCTGCAAACCATCTGATTAATGTATTGTACAAACAACCTTAGGTCCATATCCCTTTCTAATTAAATCTTCCATTTATAAGATCAATTTTATGTTGTTTATAGAAAATGTTTTAGAGGTGCGCCACGAGCAGCGAAGTCGGATTTGAAGTTCATCAGAGACTATACTCCAATAATAGATGGAATCAAT